TTCCAGGCAAGGCAGGGTGACTGGGCACAGTGGATGGTAGGTACGTTCCTAGAAGCCGTTTGTGAGGCAGCTGTTTGACGCGGCGACCTCACTGGTTACAGTACTCAGTTAATCAAACATGGATCTAGCTGCTCTGTGAAGGGATTTTGCAGAAGTCGTTAAAGTCCCTAATTGGGTGACTTGCAGTTGTGCGGGCCTGACTTAATCAGTTAAATGGTCTCAAAATTGGACTTAGGCTTTCCCCGGGGTAGGAGGTGGGTGCAAACTCCTGCTTTTAGAAAACAGCTTTGGCCCATGGGGTTCCAGCTTGCTCCTGTCCTTCCCTTACTGATGGCCTGCCCTGTGGCCTTCACACTTGCTTAGCCAGTCCGCGGCAGTTACATGAGCCAATTCTTCTGTCTCTGTGGATGTTTCCCTATCTACTATCTATCTATCCATCCATCCATTCATCCATCCGTCTGTCCATTATCTCTCATCTTAATGTTTCCTACTGGCTGTCTTTCTTTGGCTGAACCCTGACTGATATACCATTTCTATACTGACAACCACATAAATATATTATTCCATTAAACCAACCAAATGTGTCCCAAACTCAAGGTCCCTTTACCCTGATTCCCCCAAATGCCCATGGTCACTCCCACACTACTGGACACAAGAGAAGAGGTCATTGGAAGGGTAGTTGAAGTGGAGAGTCTGAAATAATTAGGGTTAGAATATCTTACTTCTACCCATCTTATTTTAGAAACACATCCTCAGTGTGAAAATGCTGCTAGGGCCTGGTCCACTGGCGTGGCAGGGAACCATGCAAGTGAGGGCCCCCAAACTTAGGCTTCATTTGAAAACCTCACTAGAGAACCCATTCTGAACGTCAGGAGTAGTTTCTGAGAGAGGTGTCACTGGACTGGAGACCTGAACGCAATCTGGTGAGACGAGAAAAAAGAGCAGGGACGCATGGGTGGCTCAGTTTGGTTAAGCATCCAGCTCTTGATTTCCGCTCAAGTCATGATCTCGGGGTCGTCAGATGGAGCCCTGGGTTGGGCTGCACACTGGGTGTGGAGCCTACTTAAGACTCTCTCTCTCTCCCTTTGCCCCTCCCCTGGGTAAGCACATGCGGATGCCCTCTTCCTCTCTCTCTCAAAAAAAACCAAAAAGATGAGAAAAAAGTATCTCAGTGGGGAGGGGGGAAGGTTGGAACAGATGGCAGACAGAGGAAAACTTGAGCAAAACCACTGAGATGAGAAACCACTGGTCGCAGATATGGAGTAAAGCGGGATGAATGTGAGAAGGAACTAGAATTTAGGGATCACGCCCTCAAATACAGCAGGCAGTCTTCTGGCTGGTCCTCGCCTTCCTTCATGTGCATTCACAGCACCTTGATGTGTCAGGCTTGGCCCAGGTGACCTAACCAAGGGGACAACACGTCTTACTCGTTCGTTGCCTAAACACACATAATCAAAGCTGCGTAGGTAACGTGGCCTAACTTAAGGAGGTCCTCAGAAATGACACTCCCTCTTACTCAGAGTTACTGTCGTAGACTCGGGAAGAATTAGGCTTACAGACTCGTGGAGACTTAGATAAGATAACTCGGGGAGGCCTGGAACAGTTGGCTTGTTTCCATAACAAGACTGGAGGTGGAAAATCCTGTCTCAGTTTAGAAACGCTTGAATCGTGAGGAATGTAAGTCACCTATATTAGCGAGCATTTATTTTCCGCTGGTGTCTTAGGGAAAACATACTGCGCTGGCTGTAAATGGACGTCTCGACCCTGGCTGCACATTGTAATCAGCTGGGCCTCGTCTCAGACCCACGAGACGAGCATCTGGGCGTGGTGTTCAGGCTTTGGCAGCTTGACAAGACCTTGGCAAACAAAAACTCCCCAGCTGACTTCATGAACTGGATAAATGAAGCAATCGTGTTAAATAGTTCACGTTTGAAGCTGTTCGTTATTCTTTAATTTTTTTTAATGTTTTTATTTATTTTTGAAGGAGAGAGAAACAGCGCATGAATGGGGGAGGAGCAGAGAGAGAGGGAGACCCAGAATCTGAAGCAGGCTCCAGGCTCTAAGCTGTCAGCACAGAGCCCGATGCGGGGCTCGAACTCACAAATTGTGAGATCATGACCTGAGCCGACGTCGGCCGCTTAACAGAGCCACCCAGGCGCCCCTGAAGCTGTTCGTTATTCTTCAGGATTCCCTAGTAGGTCAAAATTCTTGAGAGCATGAACACATATTTCTCAAAATTAGCAGAGGGCGGTGGGTGAATTTCCTGATGGAGAATGGCTGCCCTTAATATAATTTTTTTTTAACCAAAAAGAAGATATCACCAAAAATAGTAATATTGTCATTTGCCCTTTCATACTTCTGGTTTTTCTTAGAGGATTTATGTTGTGTCCAAGTGTCAAATAAGAAAATTTCCTTAAAACATTGTTTTTGGTCAAGCCTGAATAGACATTATCATAAAAATGTTTTAGGAGATTCCTTCCACTGGTGATTTTGTGCAAACTGGTGCAACACATATTTTGGTATTGGAACTTCTTTAGCATTCTATAAATAACGTTTTGGATTTGGAAAGGCCCCCTGACAGGCAGTTGCTTTAATCAAAAGGTGGCATTGACATTGGAAAGGCCCCCTGAGTTGGCCGGAGATCCTGGCTGTTCTGTGGGGGCTTTTAAGCATTAACGTTATTCATGGCGGCTCCGCACGATTAGATTTTGGCAACGATTATTGATCTCATTCAACTCGCTCTGTGGGTTGAGTGAAAACACCTTTCCTATCACAGCTTTCTCCTCATGGGTCTGATTACAGCGCATATACAGGCAATTCTCTAGGAGTTTTAGAGAATGCCACAAAGCTCTCACGCTCCCTTTTCTGGAGACTTAACTTTTTCTTCTTTAAGGGCAAGAAAGTTCAAGACTCTCTGGGCTGGCTCCCGATGTGGGGTTTTGGCAGGGGGTTCTCAAACGTTGATGGGCCTAAGAACCCCCCCTAGAGGGTTGATTCAAAATACAGATTCCTTTGGGCCCATGCTTATGATTCTGATTAAATAGAGCTCCGTCGGAGTCCTGGCATCTGCATTTCAGCAAGAATCCCAAGGGACTCTGATGCCCTCGTGCTACAGTTTTGAGGAGCATTCTATTTCAGAATCATTTTGCATTGACATGGCATTTCCTCAAAGCTGTTAGAAATCTCACATAATCCGGGAGGTAGAAGCAGGCTAGCCCGACAGCATGAAAGGTCACCAAAGCTATTTTTTTCTATTCTCTCTGCTAATTAACCGGGAACTCTAGATGCTAAAACCTTTCTGCACTACCTTTCATAAACTCCCTCATACTCTCTGCTCTCTGCTGAATGTCTGCGTCCCATCTCCCCAAATTCGTATGTTGAGACCAAATTCCCAATATGATGGTATTGTGAGGGGGGGCCTCGGGGAGGTGATTAGGTGATGAAGGTGGAGCTCTTGTGAATGGAATTAGTGCCCTTATAAGAGAGACCCCAGAGAGCTCCCTGGCCCTTCCATCATGGGAGGACACAGAAAGCAGACGACTGTCTGTGAACCAGGAAACAGGTTCTCACCAAACACTGACTCTTCTGGCAACTTGATCTTGGACTTCCCAGCCTCCAGAACTTAGAGCAGCCCGAATGGTCTAAGACATGCCCCCAATGCATCCCCTTTTACAATTCCTACATCCCCTTCACAATCACCATTAATGAATATGTATGAGTTGATGATTTGTCTCTCTTATCCAGTCTTATGGTCTAAGCTCAAGGAAGGGAAAAGCTACTGTGGGGTCTGAGACGGAACCCTAGATCTTTGTGAAAAGAACCATTTACCTTTGCTATGGGTGATAACTGAAAATTATCCCTATAGAGACTCCCAGCTCATGGAAAGGTCAGTTGTCATGGGTCAGGGCTTGCTCACGTTAGAAAAGGAAGTAAGTAAAAATCTTCAGATGCTATGACCATCATTGCTCTGTAATTCACCTTTAGCTCCTTGAGAACTAAAAGGGAAAAGAAACCTCATCAGTTTCTTTGATAAAAATTGCAAGAAATATTTCAAAGACTGTTCTGTCTCTTCTTTCCCCTCAATTTTCTGGAAATCAGAGAAACTCTTGGCTAAGAAGGTGATAGGGAAACCGGTTAAGTTCCTGTCATGCTGGACACAATGGCATGTAATCGGATGAATTCCAGATAGTCCTGAAGTGTGTTCGGCCGATTGCTATGTGCCACCCTAGGGGTTAATTTCAAAACCCAGAGGTCCTGGCTCTTGAGCTATGGGGATAGAGGAGGAGACTTGGAGTTTCTAACAGAGAAGAAGGAAGGATGTAAGGGTTGATAGTCTCCAGGCATCCACTTCTCTGAAAATGGCAGTTTGTTCATCAGGCAAGATTTGACTCCTTTCGGGAAATACTGGATTAAGAGATGAGCAAAATCTCTACAGTCCCTCTGCGTTCCGTGTTGTTGATCTTGGGTCTCCATAAGAAGTCTTGATTTTTTTCCTTGGAGCGTCCAGACTTCTCTCTGGGCCTTTGCTCCCGCATATCAGTAGGCTGTGACTAGACACGGGTTGTGCAAGAATTGCTTTTGTCAGAAGAGTCAAGTTTCCATACCCTGTGGACCCCACGGGGGCCGTGACTCTGCTGTGGGCCGCCTCCCCAGCTGGACCGCAGCCCTGCCAGAAACAACCGTCTGGCTCCAGCACGTGCGGCGTGTGTCCCACAGAGGTGGCGGGACTCCCGCCTCCACCATCCACGGGGCCACTCCTCACCCCGGGAGGACCCCCTAGGCCAAGCTTGCAGGGCATAAAGAAGGAAGCAGATCCAGTTGGGGGCTCTGCCTGAGCAGCCGACAGAGACTCCCCTGCCGAGCAACAGAGAATCTGGCATCATCTCTGAAGAGCCTCAGCCAACTGGAACTTCGGAAGCCACAGCTTTCCTCCGAGCTCCCCCTCAAGATGTGTGCAGTCATCGTGCTTGTTTCGCTTCCTCCCTGTTCTTGTTTAAAAGTCAGAACGCCTTCCCGACACACAGCAACATCTCAGCACTCAGGGGTTTCTACGAGGGCCGAGAGGAGGCAGGAGAACAGGTCTGGGGAGGCCAGGGTGGCATCAGGTAACCCCTCCTGAAGTTGACCTTTGGAGTATCCAAGCTGCTGTGTCCTTTTGGACTGTCTTCAACCGAACATATTCCACAGTTGCCAAGCCTCAGATATCAAAGAAACGCTTACAAAATACTCTCTCTCTCTCTCTCTCTCGTAAGAAACGATTTAGCTAAGAGGATAGCTCTGCCAATACATATCACATGGACCTAGACACACACACAAAAAAAAGGAACAGATGTTTTAAAAAATGCTTAAGGAGAATGAGACTATGTTCTTGGTGGAAAGAACACAGTCACTCTTCCTCCAAGAGTTCTCGCGATCGGCCAACCTAAGCTGCTTTAGTCGCCACCACCGACCCTAAGGCACTCAAAAAGATTAAGGCAACGTAGTGCTTCAAGGACCGCTAGGGATACCCTGGGTAGCCGTCAACATCCATGATCGTGCTGGGGGTTTTTTGGGGTGTTTTTTTTTAGGTCTCACTTTGTTCTCTTCACTTAATGGTATTTCAGTTTCCATTGTATCTGATAGTAACGCATCCAGTAGTGAAATGCTGTAAAAAGCCAAAGAGAAAAGTGACGACTGTGTAAACTATGAACTCAAGAGCCAAAGCTATGTTTTGAGGCCAAAACCACCGCCACAGGGATGATCAACACCATCACCCCTAAGGATTCATGTCTCTGGCATCAGTGATCGCATCAGGGCATGAAGAGCTGAGTCAGAAATGAAGGCACCATCCATGCTGACCATGCAGCTGAAGGCCACACCCCAAATCGCATGCACGTTATGAACTTTACAATTTTGAAGGAAGGAGGTTGAGATATACTGATTACTGATGACAGAAAAATCTAGAGTTGAGGCCACAGTCAGTACTGTCTTGACAGATTGTAAAAATACGAAAGATACCAACAACAAACTCAAGATAGCCCAGATCCACTGGGCAATATTTGCTTATTGTCACAAAGCTTCCAAATGGTAAGCAGATCCTACCTTTGTGACCCTTTTAACTTCTCTTACCATATTTACCTTTAAAGGCTACAAGTAGCCAGAAAAGTACTTAATTAATGGACTTTAGACAGATTAAGAAGGAATTATTGGAAGGACATTTACACAAAGAACTACTTCTGTATTAAGTGTGCTTGGAAATCTGGGGGACATTTCTCCTTCTTCATTGTTCTGTTAAGTCCAAATAAGGTATTATTTTGTACATTATTTTGATGCAATATAAGAGAAATGCCAGATGCTTAGTACATTTGTTTTGAAATTAATTTATTACTAAAAACTTATTCCTCTTTGGGGTGCCTGGGTGGCTCTGTCCATTAAGCGTCTGACTTCGGTTCAGGTCATGATCTCGCGGTCTGTGAGTTCGAGCCCCGCGTCAGGCTCTGTGTTGACAGCTCCCAGCCTGGAGTCTGCTTCAGATTCTGTGTCTCCCTCCCTCTGCCCTTGCCCTGCTCACACTCTGTCTCTCTCTCAAAAATAAATGAACATTAAAAAAATTTAATAATAATAATAAAAAAAACTTCCCCCTCTTTTTGAAATAAAAAAAAGATCATGTTATAGGCCAGGAAAAGGTAGTAACTCTGTCAACATAGGTGTAAGTGATCCCAAGTTGATCCTGGACTTAATTTATTAGGTCATTGTTCAACTTGATCAGCTCTAAAGAGAGAATTCTTGTGGATCTTGACTTTTGATATAGTGTGGATCCTCCCTTTTGATATAGTGTTATATTTATAACCCATTCTAATTAGGACTTCTGTGAAATGTATGGTGAATAATTGATTTTGTTTTTGTAAATAGTCATTTAATGAAAAGAAAAATAAGATCCTGGAAAAAGAAGTAAGCATGAGAATGAATAAATACCATGTTCACACTAATAAATCTCAAATTTGTATCTTTAGCCTTAACTTGCGCTTGGGACTTTTAACATGTCTACTTGACTGGTCTACTTGAATATTTCACACATACCTCGGATTTAACCAAATAGAACACAGCCTTTCTCCCTATGCTGTTACTACTCTGTGCTCCATTTTGTGAATGGCAACATGAGCTATCCAGTCGTTCAGTCTAGACAATTTGGAGCCATTCTTACTTCGTCTCTTTCACTCACGCTCTATATCTGTCACCATGTCTATTCAATTCTCCCCAGATAAGCTCTTGGACTCATCCATGTCTCCCTCTTTCTATGGCTGCTCCCCAGTCCAACCACCATTATCTCTTGCCTGAAATACAAAAGTAGCCTGCTACCTGATCTCCATATTTCTGCTTCTGTTGTCCTCCATTTGTCCTCCAATGTGTAGCAAGTGACTTTATTAAAATGTGGGTCATATGTCACTCCACAAGTCAATACCTTTCAATAGCTTTTAATTTCATTTAGAAGACTACTCATGACCGATAGGACCCATATGATCTGTCGCTGGCTTGCCACAGGCTCACCACCCACACACCAGCCTACTAATCCTTTCTCAGCATGTCAGAAAGTAGAACTCTCTTCCCTCAGGGACTTTGCTAATCCCTCCACTTGGAATGTGTTTTCTTCCCAGCTTCAAGAGCTAGACCCATTAGATCCTTCGAGTCATTTTCATTAAGCTAGGCTCCCATCCTGTTGTTCTTCAACCCAGCCTCCTGCTTGTTTCCAAAACACTCCTAATTCTTTAATATTTCCCTTTTATTTCTACCCCAGTGTAATGAAAGCAGGAACCAATATCTAGTTTGATTCATTGATGAATTTCTGGGACCTTCAGTAGTCCTTGCCTCATGATGGTGCCCAATAACGTTTGTTAACACCATTGAATCAATGGAAGAATTTAAATACTAAAATAATAAGAGAGGGCATCAGGCAGAATCCAGGGGCATGTTAATATCAACATTGGGGAGCAGAATGCAAACCTACAAGGAAACTCAAAAGAAGTAGTAGGAGAGGGAGGACTCTGCTAGAATATTCTGAAAGCCAATCAAAGGGCACACTTGAAGAAGGAAGGGGGGTGAGGGGTAGGCTCTACCAAATGCTGCCACTTGTCAACCGAGACAAGGGTGGAAAGCTGTCTGCTGGATTTAGCTTTAAGAGTCATTTGTGACCTTGGTAAGAGCAGTTTCAAGAAGACTGGTGAAGGAGAAGAGAGATCAGGCACAAGTTACCGGAGGGAAAGATTTCAGTATAGTTGAGTACATGAACGGACCTAGGAGAGAACGAAAGTGTAAGAGTCAGCAGGGAGTCACCTATACTCAACCAAATGCAGCCTCCCTGGGATCCACTTTAATGGAATCCAAAGCCCAAGTGAAAGAAAAAGAGTTTTCTAGAGTCACTGTGAAAATCACTTGGGGGGTGGGGGAGGGTGCTTTTAAAAGCATCAATGTCCTGCCCCTTCCCTAATCCAATTCAATCAGATCTCTAGGGATGGGGCCTAGATAAAGTATATTTATAAAGCATCCAGTTTCCTCCAGTGTGCAGTCTCTTCAATGTTTTCCCCTCTCTTTCTTTTGTGTATCGAAAGAGCACTTTGCAGGTGGGAGAAGTTTCCTTGCTGGGCAAACATTGAGTTAGGGCAGTGGATAGATGCCAGCAGGAAGATAAGAAGACATTAGTGGGTACCTTCACCTCTACCCAGTTGAATTGCTTTAAATCCATGCTTCCATTCATTTTTAAGAATTTGGTAGAGAACACATACCATAAAATGTACTATTGTAACCATTTTTATGGGTATAGTTCAGTAGTAAGTATATTCACATTGTTGTATAACCAAAACTCTTTCATGTTGCAAAACTAAAACTCTAACCTATTAAGCAACTTTCTACTCCCTTAGACCAAGGAAGTGCTTGAAGGCTTCCGTCTGCTGCTAACGAGCCAGAATAAGCCATGACTCCTTATGGCATCACCTTGAAGGTCTTATTTATATGTCACCAGAGGCATCCTTGAGAGCTGAAGCTGGATGACAATTTGTGCTCAGTGATAATCATTTTGTTCAAGGATATTTCTAACCTCCCTGCTTCACTTGGTTTCACACGGACTTCTCTATTTTACTATAGTGCTCAAGTCAACTTGCCTTTCATGGCCTACCATGGGGTAAGGGATTCCCATAGAAGACAGTGTATATACCTTTCTCATAGACGTTCCTGCTGCATTCTGTTGGACTGCTTGCTTTTCTCTGACAAGCTGTGATGGTGGGTAGTGATCATGCTCCATTCATCACTATATAAGCAGCATATAGTGATGTAGGCATGCTCAATAAATATCTGAGTATGATACTATGTAAATATACATGTAACGCCTAACGCTCATTGAGACTTCCAATATGACATGGACAAGTCATTGATTGTATTGTTATTTAATTTAATTTGGGTAAATTCTCACAACAGCTCTATGAAGGCAAGTTTTCTATTTTTATCCTTACATCACAGAAAACTGATAGAAAGTTTAGGAAAAAGACAGATATCATATGTTTTCACTCATACGCGGAACTTGAGAAACTTAACAGAAGACGATGAGGGAAGGAAAGGGGAAAAAATAGTTACAAATAGAGAGGGAGGGAGGGAGGCAAACTGTAAGAGACTCTTAAATACAGAGAACAAATTGAGGGTTGGTGGGGGGGAGGTGGGTGAGAAGGGAAAATGGGTGATGGGCATTGAGGAGGACACCCGTTGGGATGAGCACTGGGTGTTGTATGGAAGCGATGAACCACCAAAACTACCCCCAAACCAAGAGCACAGGGTACACTCTGCATGTTAGCCAATTTGACAATAAATTATATTAAAAACAAAAAAAGAAAGAAAGTTTAGGAAAGTCGTGGAAGGTCGCACAGCTAGCAAGTGGCTGAGGTGAAAATGAAGCTTGGGCAGTCTGGCTCTTGAGTCAGTAAGCTGACTTTGAAAGAAACGAAAAAGGAAAGGAAGTAGGGACAACAAGGACTTTTATCTGTCTGAACTCCCTCCCTGGGCAAGAGGGAGCAGAGGTCATGAAAAGTGGACTAGATCAGGGTGGAATGGAACTGGCCATGAGGTAGCATTCTGGTTCAAA